CTGAGAGACATAAACCCCATATGCAGGTGATAAGGGTATATCGCTACATAAGTAAGGGAAGTTGACGATTGAAAAATTGAAGTAATAACGTTAATCATGTTTATCTATAGCGTTGTTGTTAGATTACCATAAACATCTTTTTCTAGTAAAATATCTAAATATGAAACAGATGTGTCAGAATCTGTGGTATCTTTTATTTCAAGTTCGCTGGGATATATCGAGTCGACATATGAATGAAAGTAACTATTGTTAATTGATAACACGTCGTCGATATATCGAAATGTCAAGTTGGAGGCCACAGCAAGTGTTTTCTTCTTCTCATGTAAAAGTTTTTGAATAAATTCTGCTTCGTATGAATACAAAAATAGGTCTGCTAATAACAATTGGTACCCATTCATGGGAATTCCAACAGATTGTTGGAAGACCTGATCTCCAAACACTGCATAGATATTGTCAATTAGAAACTCAAGCATCTTTTTAATATCAACGTCAGAGTACCTGTGTGTACAATCAGTGTGCTTTTTAACAAAATAATTTTGTAAATGACCAATGACAAGGTAAGTATATTTATGAGTTCCATTTTTATTGAAAAAAAAAAAAAAAAAAACAAAAAAAAAAACAGCTGTCTATGATGTCAAAAAGCCTGGATTTCAATTTATTGTGGGGAATGGTTGTATAAAGTGTTGAAAAGTCGTACGTTTCGATGCTATTGATTTTAGTAAAATTTTGTGATTTCAAATTTTCCAAAAGTTATTTGGAGTTTTTAAGTATCCACATCTGATTTACACCACTTCTCGAATATACTGTTGAACAGTACTCCTGAAGTTTCTCCTTCATTACAGTGAATATTTTAACGAGGAGTAAAGAAAGAGGCTTGGTAGAACATTTACTGGAATCCGCTATGTATCTTTGTTTTTAAGGATTTTTATGAAGTTTAGGAATCTAGTAAAGGTATGATAATTGAAATTCATTTTGGTTGTTAGGAATATTAAAATTATCTAAAACGGACATATGATTTTGAAGAATTTCCTCCTTAGAAAGCGAGGGATGGGTGTAAGTTGGACTTCCTATAGTTGAAATCCTATAGTTCCTCAAAAATACAATTCAGATAATGAGCCTTACAAAAAAAGACAACGTTGTTATCAGCTTTGTCAGCTGGGACCAGTACAAACTGATCGTGTAATCTATGAATTCCTTTTTCACTTCTGATTTATTAAAGACAGAAGAATCAATAATCAATAGAACTCCACCTGAACACCAGAATCCCTACCCCAAGGGCCATAAAATTCAAAATTTAGGAAGAGGCACCCTTCTTCATCATAACTATGTACAAAGTTCATTTGTTTAATACCCAGGAGCAGAGGAGGAGATTTTCAAAGAATTAATGCATTTTCACTATATATTCAATAGAGCCCCGCCCTCATACCAGAACCCCTGACCCAGGGGCCATGAAATTCACAAATTTTGGAAGAGGCACCCTTCCTCATCATAGCTATGTAGATAAGTTCATATGCTTAATACCCAGGAAAAAAGGAGATTTTATAAGAAATAATGCATTTTCACTATATATTCAACAGAGCCCCACCTTAGCACCAGAACCCCTGACCCTGAGACCAAGAATTTCACAATTTTGGTAGAGGGCTCAATGCTGATTCCAATCATGCCAACAGTCTGGCTGCTTGATGTCCAGGAGTAAAGAAGATTTTTAAAGATTGCATTTATTTTGATGGTTTAAGCCCCACCCCTCAGGCCAGGGGGGGAGGATGAAATTCACAATTTTAACTCCCCTTCACCCATAGATGCTATATGCCAAAATTGGTTCAGTGGTTTCAGAGATGAAGCTAAAAATATTTAAATGTTAACACACGATGCACGATGAAGACGAAAACATTGCAATAGGTCACCTGAGTAAACTCAGCTGACCTAAAAAAATTATACGATAACAACGCAAATTTATATCATAAACTCACTTAGCCCAGCATCAGGTGAGCTAAAAATTGAAATTACAGGAACGTTCAACTAATCAGATAATTGTTCAACAGAAAAATCAGCTATTCCAATAAAATTGCAGCAATAAAAGTAATTCGATATTTTAATTTTTACCTGTCCCTATATTCTGATCATATTGGAATTCCATTTTGTATTATAAAAAGAACAATTATTTTAATTACTTGTAACTCTTATTAAATCCTATACGTGTAAAAAAAATGAAAAGAAATGACTTATGATCTGCAATCAAATACATGTATCATATGTTCTTTTTGTTTTGAGTCATACATGCTAAAACAATGCCAATTAAAAAGAGGCCCATGGGCCACAACACTCACCTTTCACTTTGGCTAGAGATTAATCAGTTCAGTATTTGAAATCCTGCAATAGCGATAACACGATGATGCGATATCAATGGCAAGATGACGAAGAAGCAATGTTCATTGTTGCTCCATCGCACTATCGTCAATACATTGTCTCACCACTACAGCATCACCATATCGCTTTATGGTCATCGTCCCATCACAATGACTTGCCATCGACCCTTTAGTCCATTTTTGATGGTGCAATAGTGAAATTCATGGCTGTTTGACCGGATTCCATACAGGGGACATAATTTGATCAAACTTAGGTCTATGCTTACTAAAAATGCTTCCATATAAAAATGATAAATATGGTTTTGAAAGATTTTTACAGATGTTCTCCTATATATTCCTATGTTAAAGTTTGATCTGTTGTGGCCCAAACCTTACCACCAGGGGTCATGATCTGAACTGAAGTGAATCTATACTACTCAAGGATGCTTCCATATTAATACGACTAATATTATCACTTTGCTGTTATTAACGAGATTTTTCAGATGCATATTCATCTTTGATCAACCACTGTGGCCCAATCCTACTCCCTGGGGTCATGCTTTGAATAAATTTGAATCTAAACTACTAGAGGATGCTTCTGTATAAATGTGAGTACTTATGAATTTGCTGTTCTTGAGGAGATTGTTTTTAAATACAGATGGCTAAACTATTCCTTAGAAGACTTTAATATTTTCCCTTTATTCCTAAGTAAAACTGGTCCCAGGGTCATGATATAAATAAATTTTACCGTCATATATTATGAAGCTTTCAAACATTTCATATTATCTGTCCCAGTGCTTGTTGAGAAGTTTTTTTTTTAAATTTGCCATCTAATTTTCACAATTTCTCAATTTCTATTAAAAGAGGACATGACCCTTCAATTGAACAAACTTAAATCCCCTTCACCTGAGAATGCTTTGACTGTGGCAAGTTTTAGAGCCTGATTACTGTTTGTTGTCTTGATATTTTATTACATCAAATGTGAAAAGTGGGAAGAGGAAACATGACAGACATTGAACACTCCTTGAACAGAAAAGGTAGCTTGAGCCTTTGGCTCAGGTGAGCTAGAAACAGACAAAAAGCTAAGCAAAACAAAAAAGATGGTTAAACATATATTTAATACTTGAATAGCTTTTATATTCATTAAATATTCTTACATTATAGATGCACATGAAAACAAGAGGCCCATGGGCCACATCGCTCACCTGAATACAAGCTAGGAAAAAAGCACAAATCAATTCAGTATTGAAAAGTTTCCTGGGGGGGGGGGGGGGGAATTTTAAACTACCCGAGGATATTTCCATATCAATATAACAAATGGCTTTGCTGTTCTTGAGTAGAAGATTTTTAGAGATTTTTTCCTATATATTCCTTGGTAAAAATTTGATACCTCATTGTGGCCCCTCCCTACCCCCAGGGGTAATCAGTGGAACAAAATTTAATCTACACTACCCGATGATGCTTCCATATCAATATGACTAAACATGGCTTTGCTGTTCTTGAGACAAAGATTTTTTCCTTTATATTCTTATGTAAAACTTTGAACCCCCATTGTGGCCCCACCCTAACCTCAGGGGTCATGATTTGAACAAACTTCAATCTACACTATCTGAGGATGCTTCCATATCAATATGACTAAAAAGGGTTTGCTGTTCTTGAGAAGAAGATTTTAAAAAATTTTCCCTATATATTCCTATGTGAAACTTTGATCCCCCATTGTGGCCCCACCCTAACCCCAGGGGTCATGATTTGAAGAAACTTGAATCTACAATACCTGAGGATGCTTCCATATTAATATGACAAATCATGGCTTTCCTATTCTTGAGATTTTTTTTTTTTTTTAGATATTTTCCTATATATTTCTATGTAAAACTTTGATCCCCCACTGTGGCCCCACCCAACCCCCGGGGGTCATGATTTGAACAAACTTGAATCTACAATACCTGAGGATGCTTCCATATCAATATAACAAATCATGGCTTTGCTGTTCTTGACAAGAAGATTTTTAAAGTTTTTTCCTATATATTCTTAAGAAAACTTTGATCCCCAATTGTGGCCCCACCCTACCCCAGGTCCATGATTTAAACAAACTTGAATCTACAGTATATAACAAAGGTTTCCTATAAATTTCAACTTTTTTGGGCCATTGGTTCTGGAGAAGAAAATTTTTATAATATGCCACCAAATTTTCACTATTTCTGAATTATTTCCCCTTGAATGAGAGCGTGGCCCTTTATTTGAACAACCTTGAATCCCCTTCACCCAAGAATGCTTTGTGGCAAGTTTGGTCAAAATTGGCCCAGTGGTTCTGGAGAAGAAGTTGGAAATGTGAAAAGTTTACGGACAGACAGACAGACGGACTACAGACAAAATGTGATCAGAAAAGCTCACCTGAGCTTTCAGCTCAGGTGATGTAAAAATTATTGAGACTGTTCAATATTCACGAAAAAGTTATTAAACTTTTAAGAATCTTCAATATTCATCAAAAAAGATATTAACCATTAAACTGTATATTCATGAAAAAGTTAGAAACTGATTCTGTGTGTTTTTAACATGTGTTTTCTCAAAGATTGTTTATGCATAACCATGTTGCACTTGTCACATTCTACCTGTGTAAGTCCTTGATGGATTGCAATATGAGACCTAAGATTTGATTTACTGGAGAAAGATTTTTTTACAAATGAAACATCTGGGTCGGGCATCAGGCTTGTTTTTATACTCATGCACACTTAATTTGTGCTTTCTATATCCTGATCTCTCATAAAAGCCTTTGCCACAAATTTCACAAATATGAGATTTGTCTGCCATGCTAGAACTGACTTTCAAGCTCAAATCATCACGAACTTTGTGCATTATCAGATGATGTCGTAAAGAATGCACATATGTGAAAAGTTTCCCACAAATTTCACACTGACTCTTGCTCGAAGGATTGTGGGTATTCATGTGAAGAACTCTGGACATTCGATTAAGAAATCTCTTTCCACAAATCTCGCAGAGAAATGGCTTTTCACCAGTATGTAATCTCTTATGATCTCTGAGCCTCTGCTTGCATTTCAATATCTTCCCACAAACATCACAAGGAAATCTCCCTGGCCCATGTCTTTTCTTATGATTCGTAAGAAGATGATTTAATTTGAATGTTTTTGGACACTCATCACATGCAAATGTTTTTGTTTCTCTGTGACAAAGCCTGTGCTTTCTAAGTGAAGAGGGACAAACATAGGCCTTGTCACACAAATCACATCTGAAAGGTTTTACTGTACCATGTGACAGTTTCAGGTGCATATTATATGATGATCTTTGCTTGTAGGACTTCCCACAAGCCAAACAATCATAGGATATAGATTTCTTAAGATGGAAACCTGAATGTTCTGCATCAACTATCATTTCATCTCCTTGTTTCTCTTGCTCCATCACAGATTTCTTATGACGGAAACCTGAATGTTCTGCATCAACTATCATTTCATCTCCTTGTTTCTCTTGCTCCATCACAGTATCCTTGTTCTCTTTTGACTGGTTCCCTGAATTACACAGATTGCATATTAACTCTTTTGGGACAGGTACTTCTTCACGAGTTTCTTTTCCAACTGGTTTCCCACAAGAAACACAACAATACCACACGTAAGCCCAGCAGCTTTTCTGTTTGTGCTGTGCTAACCTCTCCAGATTTGGAAATATTTTCTTACATATCTCACATTTAGGTAATTTTGTTCGAATGACTCGAACAGTTTTCACAGATTTTTCATCACTCTCATATGTTGGTAAATTTACTTCTTCCATTCCAGCTTTTGGTTTCTCATAATTGATACCATGGGTGCCCTTCAGATGAACTAACGCACCACTTTTACCCAAGAAATTCATTCCACAATACCCGCACCTTATTGTTTCACTTTGGATTCCCTTGTGCTGTAGAACATGTGACTGTAAACCAATGGAATCCCTAAAACCCTCATTACAAATTCCACATTTGAAAAACTTAAAGTCGATTTCTTTCATTTTTTCAATGTTACTTCTGTTTCTAGTCTCGAAATGAATGTTGATCCTTTTATTTACGCTACTTTTATCTTTAGTTCTTCTCTTTATTTTCCTTTTCTTTGGACCTTTCTAAACAAAAAAAATGATAACATCTTACTTCCTCTGTCTTAAAAAAAAAACAGTTTATGGAACAAATATAAATAAAATCAGGGGTAGACAAATAGAATTTTTCAGTACTTGCCCTGGGACAGGTTACCATCGTAAAATTACTTGTCCTACCAAAAATATGCTTGTCCCACTTTTTCTTAATTAACATAAAATTAAAGCATTATCGTTAAATATTAAATTATTTCTCAACTGATACACTACATGGGGACCAAACTAGACATAAAATCATTTAATTTTTTGCACGGAAAAATTTAGGGGTAAGTCTTGTTCCAGGGAGATTTCTTAGCTTGTGCAGTGCGCATAATTAAAACTTTTCTCTGTATTACTTTAACATCCCAAAAATACTGTAAGAGAAAAAAATTTTTTTTTTTTGAATATTATAAAGTATTTGATTATGAAAACCACCACTGCATGTCGATTGTGACTTTCAGTGATCGCCAGTCAACAGCTCCAATTTTAATATCAGTATAACACGTTTGTACTCACGGCATGAATTTTTACATTATTTTTTACAATACCTAAAAAGGTCTAAAATCCTCTTCAACTTTTTTGACATGGAATCGATAGCTGCTATGTTTTACGTCCTGTGTGTATTTTAACTACACATAAATGGGTAAATTCTAGAGGAGTTCCGATGGAGTATTCGATGTAGTGATGAACAGCAGCGAAAAACAGGTGCTCTACTGTGATTCATTACATTTCAACGGCGATAAAACAAACAACATTCGATTTTTTGTTAACTGGAGAAGCACTTGTCCGCGGGCAGGTACCACTTATTAAATAACTTGCCCGCCAAACAAAATTGGTTGTCCCGGGCGTCGGGCAATGCTATTTGTCTAGCCCTGATAAAATGACATTGTATTTAGAATAAAACATAGGTAATCAGAGATTACAGAGCTCACCTCAATGAATGTTGTCTTTAAGTAAGGCAAAGTCCCACACTAAACTAATAATCTAGGAGTGTGCATCCCTAGATGCAACATTTATGCACTTTTGGTCTGATAGGGCTTGCAGTTACTTGGGAATAGACTTATCTGAAAACTTAAAACTAGTCACTCATTCAGAAAATGTAAGTCAAATCCAGCATCCAAAGCAAGTTTTGAGATTGTTCGTCCCTTGATGCATCATCCATGCAAGTTTGGTTCAGATAGGCCTTATAGTTACTTGGAAATGAGATCTGCTCCAAAAACTTTAGTCTGGTTACTCATCCAGAAAATGTAGGTCAGATCCAGCATCCGAAGCAAGTCCAGTAGTGTGAATCCTTAGATGTATCATCCATGCAAGTTTGGTCAATATAGGGCTTATAGTTACTTGGAAATGAGATCTACTCCAAAAACCTTAACCTAGTCACTCATCCAGAAAATGTAGGTTAGATCCAGCATCCCAAGCAAGTTCAGTAGTGTGCATCCTTAGATGTACCATCCATGCAAGTTTGGTCAATATAGGGCTTATAGTTACTTGGAAATGAGACCTGCTCCAAAAACTTTAACCTGCTCCAAAAACTTTAACCTGGTCATTCTTTAGCTGAAATTGCAGCATCTGAAACCTTGACTGGTACAATGAAATACACTAGAAGCATCCTCCATGCATCTCTGACTAATATAGGCCATAGAAGTACTTGAAAAGAAAACTGCTCCAAAACCTTAACTTGGGACGCCGACGCCGAGGGTATTACATAAGCTCCCCCAACTTCGTTGAGGTGAGCTAATAAAAAAGTGAATTCATCTTCTGTATATTTTTAACAATAAGCTTTTTATCAGAACTGAGTATCCTAATAAAAAGAATTTGCTCGTTTTCACATAATCTCAACATCATACAGTCAAACCTTTTCATCCCCACAGGGGTCAAGATTTGAACAAACTTTTATCTAATCTACCTGCTTTAATATATAAATATGACTAATAGTAACATTGTCATTCTTGATAAGACTGTCACCGAGGTACAGGGCACCAGTAGATAAGGGGAACTAACTCTGACATTGCCCTAACCAAGAGACAGGGGGTCAGCCTATGTTTAGGCTTAACAACACCAAGATCGAATATGCATAGAGCTATAACTCGAAGGCAGCTAGACAGTTTTTACAATTTATTAGGTTACAATTTAGTTCAATTACTGTATAAACAATGATCAAATAAAATAAAGCCAAAACAAATAAATTGAAGTATGAATTAGGAGGTTTTAGTTGATAGATAAAATAAAAAGTGAAATAAACTTTTAAAATAATAAAATAAATTTAGCCGCCACACTACTTAGTCTACTGGCAGACTGGTGGACAGTCTCTTATTTAGCCAGTGTATAGACATAAGCAGTGTGTCGTAGAATGTTCCAAAATATTCTGACTGTGGAATAAATTCCTAACAGTATATTTATAATGAAGAGGTTAATTAAGTATAATTATAAATAAGACATATAGAGTCACTGATGATGACCACTCAGATAATTATTTAAGCTGAAACCGAGTGACCATATGCCATTAATTACAGATAATTATCTTAACAGATTGAGTCTTGTCAAATGTTTGTCATAACACATATGAGTATAATTAATTAATTTTCAAAGTCAAATCCTAAATGTCAATTAAACTTTAAAGTCAAATCCTAAATAGTTACAAAAAATATCTTTACACAAAATAGCACACTATGACATATTCCCCCCTACTTGAAAATGTTTGTCCTCAAATATAATATGTACATTATAAAAAGTATATATTTGAGAACACATCAAACATACAATATGCTGTACTAACAATAAAATGGTATCATTTAACATCATCAATTGATTATATGTACACAGTCTAGACTTATGAAAAGAAATTCATGAGCAAAAGCAAGATAATTTACCTCTTGAAATTTAATTCCCAAAAGTAGTAGGAATAAGAATTAATATGCGTGCACTCATACTAATCCTTAAAACTACTGTAACAGTAAAGACAATTGTAAATTTTGAGAGTATTATGGAATTAAGCAAATGAATTTCTTTGCATTTGGAAAAGAATACATGGATAACTACACATAATACATGTCACACTTTTGGCTACAAAGTTCATAGGTATGATCTGAGCAGATCTGTCGTATATAATCATCCTTGAAGTTTTCAAAGAAAGAGGCAACAATACTTGGGGGAAGAGATTCAATATTGACCCATTTTGGACCTATAGACGGATTGTCATGGCTCAAAAGGTACTGCGGATCAGTCTTTGGGTCAAATCTAACTTCATGGATTTCACGCCCCACACAAAACTGCCACGGTTCAGGAGGTGGTTCTCTCAGGTGTTGTCTCCGAAGATCGTCAATATCTTGTTGTAGTTGCAAGTCTTCTAATTTTGTAGACATGTATGTTAAGAACTTTGATGCATGTGATGGAACTGACGTCATTGGTTCCCATTTTGGATTTGAAGAACCAGTCTGAATGAGGAAGTATGCTCGGTCTCTCATGATGCGTATGGCTAACAATTCTTCTCTACCTTGGAATTTTGTGGTAGTGGACTCCCCAGTTGAATCAAGCACATTCACTGAATTTGATTGAGAATTACCACTATTCACATTTTCTTTGGGTTGTTGGTCATGTTTGTCGAAGAATTTATGCTTGGTTTGATGTAGGGGTCTCTTTCGCTTTTTCCCGCTCATAGTTCTGTCGGAATGGAATTGTCGCACTAGTTTAGATGGAATTTTACAAGGGAAATGCCACTCGGAGATTCCAGTTGTAAACTTCACTTTGTAGTAAAGGGTTCCATTTCCTCTACTGGATGCCAAGAGACGGTCAATCATCTCCTCACGGAATGGAGTGCAGCTACCACGGTTACAGTCCTGGCATGAAGGTTTGGTATCAGCAATAGGTGGATTTCCTGGTCGAATTTGTTGATTGCTGTTCCCATTCTTTTGCTGCGACTGTTGTCTTTGTCTTCCATTATTTTCTTGTCGTGGAATGTTCGTCCTATTCGGCAAAGCAGGTGCTCTTTGTTGATTATTGTTTCCATTCTTTTGCTGTGGTTGTTGTCGTTGTCTTCCATTATTTTCCTGTCTAGGAATGTTGGTCCTATTTGGCAAAGCAGGTGCTCTCACTCTTCCTGGAGGGTTGGCAAGTTGATCTCTAGGTTGTTCAATTTCATCAGGATCTAGTTGAGTGTTGTCATTGACATGTTCTGGAGGTGGGTTAGTTGGCCTGGTTAGAGGATCATAGTAAGGCTTTAAACGATGGGCACTCACCAGTGATTTCACCTCCTTGTTGTTGGCACAGTTTCGAATCCTGTATGTGTGGTTGTGTCTGTTCACCATGGTGATGTAATATGGACCAACCCATCGGCGATGTAATTTTGGAGCTTTACCAACAGGAACTTTGGTACAATATAGCCAGACTCTCTGAGTTGGGAAAAATTCTGGTTCCTGGGTTGTTTTATCATAGCGCTCTTTGTTCTTTTGTTGGGCAAGTTCAATATTTTTGGATGCAATTTTCCTGGTTCTTTCTAAATTCTGTAAAATTCGTCCAAGAAATATTTTGTGATCCTGAGCTAAATGTTCTTTGGGAACTAAAGCGGTATCAATAGGCAGGCACATCTCTCTTCCATAGAGCATGAAGAATGGTGAGTACTCTGTAGATTGAGTTGCAGGAGTGGCTCTGTATGCCATAAGGATCCCTGAGAGTAGAAGATCATCCCAGTCATCTTGCTGACCCATAGCGTAACCGCGAATGGCTTGGAGAATGACGGAGTTCATTCTTTCAACAGATCCATTGGTTTGTGGGTGGTAGGAGCTTGTTAAATGTCTTGTGATTTGGAACATCTCTGATAGAGCTTTCACAAGATTGGAAACAAAATTCCTCCCGCGATCTGAAATGAGAGTCCTTGGTGCTCCATACCTTGATATTATCTCCTTATACAGAACTCTTGCAATCTCACCTGCTTCTTGTGTTCGCAAAGGAAATGCATCAGACCATTTGGAATAGCTGTCAACTACAAGAAGAAT